ATTGATAAGGCTTTCGAATGGGGCGCTAAGCACGGAATCGGTATATTATTGGACATGCACGCGGCACCTGGATCTCAAAATGCCTTTGATAACTCGTCACCCGCTGAATACCCTCCTCAGGTATGTTTATAAATCTATTAATTTTTTTATATGAAGCACTATTATTAAGGAATATTTAAGAAATTAATATGATTAATATAAATAATTCTATATAATAAATTATTATAAAAAAGTGATATTTAAAATATTTAAAAAGAAATATACTTGCAAATATAATCATAGAAAAATTGGGACAAATACGATGCAAACAGGGGTCAAACTGTAGACTCAATGGAGCTGTATGCTCAGCGTTACGCCAATCACACCGCCCTGTACGGTTTCTGTTTTCTCAATGAGCCCAATGGTATGGACATCGGAAAGTTGCAAGATTACTATAACCGAGCCTACGCTGCCGTACGTAAACACTCGGCCGACTCCGTGATAGTCATCAACCCATTGATCAATGGAGAGTCGGGTGTCGAAGATCATTGGATAAACTTTGGACAGGGTATGACCAGGTTGGCCATGGACTTGCATTACTACTCGTGCTTTGGTGGCGGTCCCGATCAGACTAACCCCGATGGTGCCATTGGTTATATAAACAACGACAGAAAGAACCAAATTTCTACGTTCGCCAGTAGAAATCCTGGAAAGAAAATGTTGATTGGTGAATGGTCATCGTGCAATCATTTTAATAACCCGGGTCGCAATGGCGATTTTGCCAAGGCTGAGTTCAACGTGTACGACCATGCTTCGTTAGGCTGGACATTTTGGTCGTGGACCGCCGGATCCGGTGAATTGTGGTCATTGAAAACCAATTTCGAAAGGGGATGGGTGCCGGGTAACCTTATGTTCCCTTGCTAAACACCTCTATATATTTAAATAGTAGGGTTGGATTTAATTTTAACTTGCTTAATAACACTTAACTTTAAATAAATTATTTCATTTTTAATTTCATGTGTATAATTATTTTGAGAACTTATAATTTATTATGTTTTTAATTTATAATAATAAGTCTTTAATTTAAAAAACAATTAATACAGTATTATAATTACACAATTATTGCTAGAAACTAATTGATGCTGTAATCATGATATAATTATAAACAAAATTATTTAGAAACTTTTTATTAGCCCTTTGTTATAATTATAATCGCATCAATGTGAATGCAAAAAATAATTTTATATTTAATTGTAAATTGTATAATATGACATGCATATGCCATTTTCATTGATTAGTGTGTATAATCAGCATAGTAATAATTATATACAAACATCTATTGTGAAATGCGTTTTGCGCTAACATAACAACATGTGTTTAATCATACTTAAAACATAATACATCATATTGAACCAAGATGCACTCATTGATATTCTATTCAAGTACATGGTAAGCACTCATTCACTTTAAAACAATGCTGTAAAATTTTTAATTAACTTCAGTATTCAATATGAACTCGATCATACTAATAGTTGTTTGCTTGTTCATATTATTTTATGAGATATCCGGGGAAAATCAGTGCCAAAAAGACAGATTACATGATGTGATATCAGGTAAAACAAAAGTACGTGGATCCAATTTGGGTAATTGGCTAATAGTGGAGTCATGGATTCACCCAAACTATGGACCGACAATGGGTGCAACAAAACCACACAAAGGGGCACTTACTTGCTGGAAAAGTGCCTTGGTGATAAAGCTAAAACAGTTATGGAAAAACATTGGTCAACCGTTTTCATTGAGGATGACTTTGCTCAAATGTCTAAACATGGTGTTAATGTAGCAAGGTTACCTGTTGGTTGGTGGCAGGTAATTTTGACGACTATATTGTTGATTTTAGTTATAACTCATTAAACAACTTAATTTTACCCTGAATGTAGTTTTCAAAAAACTCATAATGTTAATGAATTAAAAATGATTTATGTTTTAATTTAAGTAAAGTCTAATTCAATTAACTTTATACTATTGTATCTCGCTCAGATTTATGACCATGATGGTGGTGCTAGTAAAGCCAAACTCAACTTTGACATCAAGCACACTGACTATATAACCGGTGGTCTGGCATATATTGATAAGGCCTTTGAATGGGGCAAAAAGTATGGCATCGGTATCTTATTGGGAATGCATGCGGCACCGGGCTCTTAAAATGCTCAGGACCATTCATCGCCTACTGAATACCCAGCTCAAGTTCGTTCAAATGAATAAAAATAATTTTAAAAAATTAAAACTAATTATCATTTATAAAATTACTGAATATATTTTTGCAGCAAAATTGGGATAAAAGTGATGATAATATCGGCCAAACTGTCGTGTCAATGGAATTATACGCTAAACGCTATCATAATCACCATGCTCTGTATGGTTTCTACCTGCTCAATGAGCCCCATAAAATGGATATCGCAAAGTTGCAAGATTATTATAAGCGAGCCTATGCTGCCGTACGTAAACACTCCAAACACTCGCATATAGTCATCAATCCATTGATCAGTCCTTTTGAGTCGGGAACGGAATCCCATTGGACAGGGTTTATGAACCCTAACCAAAATTATACCAAGGTGGCCATGGATTTGCATTACTACTCGTGCTTTGGTGGACCATCAGCTACCACTAACCCGGATGATGCCAT